GATGGCCCTTCCTCATGGCTATGATTGCCCTTGTGCACCACTGCGAATCTAGCACCAGCAGCAGCTTCACTAAAGTGATTTGTTTAATGACTGAGGACTCTCGATGGGTTTGTTATTTGTTCAGCGGCCTTGTCATGGCTTGCCACGTTACGACAGAATATAGATTGTAGTTATTGTTGTTGACACGGAATGTGTTGAGTTGTTTTTGTTGTTAACTGTGCTCGTGTACCACTGCTATCACAGCGGCCGCAGCAGCATCACCAGATGACGTTACACTTTTTTACGCAGAGAGGATGATGTGATCACTTGGGTTCACGCAAAAGCTAACCGCAGGCCCGGCTAGAACGGAGTCTTTTCTTCGTGTGACATGGCGCAAGATATACGGTCAGCTTCACCCTTTTTCACTTCACTGCCACATGTATGTATGTACGTGCGTTGAATCTCTTTCGCACGGAGCGGTGGTGCAGCGGTAAGCGCTGCGCCGTGCTACGAATCCGGCGAGCCGAGTTCGATTCCCGCTCACGGCCAACACCGGTGACGATTATCTGAACCGGTCCTGGGCCTCCCCTAGGTCGACTCAGCCTCAAATGAGTACCTGGTGCGGTGCGTAAAAACATCGGTACTAGGGAGACAAAGGCGGCCGGGCGTGGTGCTGCCGTTCCGGCCTTAATAGGCGCTCGCTAACAGCACTTGCCCCAACGGTCTGTTAAGGCTTTACGGGGGATCTTTGTCTTTGGATTTTTTTCTCACCGTACGTCGCCAAGCGTGCTAATCGGGAGGTGCGTGAAAGCCTCCCCGTGGCATTGTTTTAGAGCACAGTGACTGCGTGTTCTAACAAAGGTTGGCTACGTATGGTGCGACAGAAGTTCACCATGCATACAAAGTGGCAAAAACGTCCAGCGGCCAGCAACAAACAGCACGACGTAATACGTGAACGTTCACAGGCTTTATCATCATGGCTTGGGAGAAAAGAGTCGGCGAAGAGAGGGAGAGAAGCTGCAGAATAATAGGCGTTGTGGCCTGCAGTGTGGTGAGTGAGGGTTGTTGTGGCCTGCAGTGTGGTAAGTGAGGGTTGTTGTGGCCTGGGGTGTAGTGAGTGAGAGTTGTTGTGGCCTGAAGTGTGGTGAGTGAGGGTTGTTGTGGCCTGGGGTGTAGTGAGTGAGAGTTGTTGTGGCCTGAAGTGTGGTGAGTGAGGGTTGTTGTGGCCTGCAGTGTGGTGAGTGAGGGTTGTTGTGGCCTGCAGTGTGGTGAGTGAGGGTTGTTGTGGCCTGGGGTTTGGTGAGTGAGAGTTGTTGTGGCCTGAAGTGCGGTGAGTGAGGGTTGTTGTGGCCTGCAGTGTGGTGAGTGAGGGTTGTTGTGGCCTGAAGTGCGGTGAGTGAGGGTTGTTGTGGCCTGCAGTGTGGTGAGTGAGGGTTGTTGTGGTCTGCAGTGTGGTGAGTGAGGGTTATTGTGGCCTGCAGTGTGGTGAGTGAGGGTTGTTGTGGCCTGCAGTGTGGTGATTGAGGGTTGTTGTGGCCTGCAGTGTGGTAAGTGAGGGTTATTGTGGCCTAAAGTGTGGTGGTTTAACACAACATGAAGTTCACGGCAACCACAGCAATAATCGCAGTCGCGACAGCCGAGTGACAGGCAGGCGACTGGCCACGGGTGAGGGAGTGGCCGGAGTGGATCCGTGACTGCCACGTGGGTGGGTGGGTGGGGGGAGGGGTTACTTGACCATACTTCACCGAGCTGGTCACTATGAGGCTGTGAAGGGCAGGGAGCAGACGCGTTAAGCTGCGCAGCCTATACCACCTGCTATGCATCCAAGTGTCGTCCGGGCTCAACTTCGCTCGGCTCTTGTAGACCGCGGTTGCTTTAACAGCTCAGGACCCAGTGAGCTGTGTGGCTCTTTCCTTTTCAGAAGCGACCTGGCCACAAACGATAGCTCAGCGAGGTGGCTTATCTCCATCATGGGACCTCCTTTGCAAGTAGCAAAATATGAGAATAGGTTTTCCGAGGTGGCTTGTCGCGTGGAAATGTATAGCAGCCAAATACTCTGAACACGTGATGTTGTTCCTTAATATAGAGGGGAGACCCGGAGGACCCGGAGAAAAATCCGCACGACCACGGGGGAGAGAGACACCACAAACTACAAATATACAGCAGCAGCAGGCGTCAGTGTGGGGATCGAACCCACGACCTCCTGTATACCAGGCGAGGTAGTTAACATCTCCAAGCCACCGTGGTGATGATGAGAGAGAGAGATAGACACCGCAAACTCCAAATATACAGCAGGCGTCAGGGTCGGGATCGAACCCATGACCTCCTGTAGACCAGGCGAGGTAGTTAACATTTCCTAGCCACTGTGATGAGTGAGAGAGAGAGAGACGCAATTTCCAAATATACAGCAGGCGTCAGGGTCAGGATCGAACCCACGAGCTCCTGTAGACCACGCGAGGCGTTCCGTTTCTCTTCGTGCGTTGGAGGCGTCCACCCAATTCGGGGCGTCAAAACAGCAAGGGGGTCTAAGCGGAGACGAATCCCGACTTGCTGCGGCTGAGACAGCGCCTGTGGGTCAGGGGAGGTCATAGTCGGTACGCTGGTCACGAACTGGCGCGCTCGCCACTGTTTACACTCCAACGCGGCGGTGATCGTCATTCACGCCGTGGCACTCAAGCGCGCACACACGCGAGCACTTCGTTATTCTAAGAGGAGGAGTGGGGAGGGGGGGGGCGAGATTACAACCGCTCGTGCCCCTTTTTTCAGCCACTTTCTTTCTTCCGCACAGCTCTACGTTAGCGGTGGTAGCGATGCCATCGCACAGTCGATTGGTGTCAGTTCTTCAGTTGTGTAACGGGCCCAAGCGCGTGCGTTTACCAATCCGCGTTTTTAATCTTTTTGCAAATTGTTCGGCGACTTCTCGTGCCCCTCTGGCCTCCTGTGCAACTCTGCCAATGCAGTGTCACCAAATAGTTCGGAACATCTAATGAAGCGGCGCGGTTTGGTTCTGAAAATCAGAATGCCGTGAATACGCTTTAAAAGCCGGTAGCCGGCCGCTTATGTCCATAGGCTTGGCAATTCTGATATTGCATTTGGGAAAATGCCACTTTCTGTTGGACAAACTTTCAAGCCAGTCTAATAATAGAGCATCTAGTTTGTTTGTTTCGTGAGATTCAAGCACACAGTGGACGGAGATAAACAGTCACCAATTGGCCGAAAACACCTTAACAAAGAGAGGACCACAGAGCTTGGAGTGGTGGGTGGGGTGGTGGTGGCGGCTGGCCACGTCGCTACTGCCCTTCGTGTCGCTGTTCGAGAGCGAGCGAATTTCTCCGCGATGGTGACCCGCTACAAGTCGACGTCGTTGTCCTGATCTTTATGCAACGGTTGCCGGTTTACGTGTCCACGCGCCTGCGTTATAAACAAACAAAAAAACTCCAACAAAACTATTTTTTACTTTACTGGGTAAGGTCCACAGAGCTATGTAGCTCTTATTTCATAAGCGACCTGGCCACAAATGATAGCTCAACTTAGCGACTTATCACGTGGTAATTAATAGCAGCAAAATACTCTAAACGCGCGTTTATTAAGTGGAGGGGAAAACCGGAGGACCCGGAGAAAAATCCACGCGACCACGGGGAGAGAGACGCAGCAGGAGTCAGGGTCGAGATCGCACCCACGACATCCTGCATACCGGGGGAGGTAGTTAACATCTCGCCTCCCCACCCCTACCAATTGTGTACGGAGCACTGAAGCGTTGGTGCTCATCTCTCGTTTGCAACCCTGAGCCAGTGGGTGGAAATTCCACATTCCTATGACCGCAAGCGAGTTAATCCGGAAGGAACAACCGCTGCTTACTTACCTTACAAAGCGGTGCCTATTTTGTTGACCCTGCTAAGGTCACGTGCCAAGTCAGCCACCGCTCAGGATTTGAACTCGGGACCTTCCGATTGCGACACACTGAAGCGAATAAGGAGGACGACGATGACGATGATGATGGAGTTTTTCGTGAGAACATTTGTAGGACAGCCACGCAGATTGAGAGGATGTTTCATAGGCATTGTAATAAGTCGCCGATCAGCTGACATACATGTTACATCTGGTATGTGCTATGCAGAACCTTCACAGGTGCACAGCAAAAGTGCATTCACCATCGTCCATGAGGCTAAACAGGGAATCTTTGATTCTGCATGCATGCTGTGTGTCTAGCTGTCTTCTTAAATACACGTGTGTGTGTGTGTCAGACTGTGTGCCTGTATGCATGTGCGTATGTATGTGTGTGTGTCAGACTGTGTGCCTGTATGCATGTGCGTATGTATGTGTGTGTGTGCGCTGTGAGCGCGCTGCACTACGAGCCCAGTGACCCGAGTTTGATTCCCGCTCACGACCCAGAACAGTGACAAATATTTGAACTGATCCTGGGCCTTCCTTCGGTCGATTCAGCCTCATATGAGTACCTGGTGCGGTGTGGAGTAAACATCGCCACTTGGGAGACAAAGGTGGCCGGGCGTGGTGCTGACCACCTCGCTATCAATACTTGCACCAAGAGTCTTTTAGGCCTATACGGGGATCTGTGTCTTTGTTTTTTGTTGCATGTGTGTGTATCTGTATGGGGAGCGGCAGTGTAGTGGTTAGCGCACAGCTGTGTAGGAACTCGGCGTCCCGAGAATTATTTCGGCTCATTGCCAACACCAGCGACGATTGTCGGAACCCAGTCCCGGGCCTCTCCTAAGTCGACTCAGCCTCAAATGAGTACCGGGGTTCGATGTGTCAACATTGCGACCAGGGAAACCAAGGCAGCTGGGCGTGGTGCCGGCAACCGAGTCCCTCGTGTGCCGTGCGGGCCTTAATAGGTGCTCGCTAACTGCACTTGCCCCTAAAGCCAGCTAAAAGGGCTTTACGGGGGCTTGTTGTTTATGCATGCGAGTGAGTGTGTGTGTGTCTGTGCGCCTGTATGCACGTATGTGTACACGTGTGTGTGTGTGTGTGCACGTGTGCGTGTGTCTGGACTCGTTGTTAAGATGCAGACCAGATGTGACTCGGCTGGTCGAGCGAGGTGACTGCGAGGCGTCCCGCAACGCGGAATCGGCGGCCTCGACCCATCTCGCCACACGCCCCCAGCCTCCACGCCGGCCCCGCTCCTCGCCTCGCTCTCGGCCGGCCGCTCGGAGGTGCCGGGGCCCTCCGCGAGGGGCCGCGTTGGGGTCGACGGCAGCCGCGGCGTCCTCGCAGCTTCTTTCAGAGGTTCGCGGTTCGTCGTGGTTATCCCTGCTGCTGCTGCTGTGTGTGTGTGTGTATTAGGCATAATTACACGGATTTATTACGTAATAATAGTACGGTGGACACTGAAGAGCCCCCTAACGTCATTAGTAGGCCCTTGCGTGCCGGAATCATCGTAAAACATTTGCCAATTTCGATAATAAAAAAGATACGGCAGCGAAGATGTACTGGATTGGGATTGTGCACAGCGGTGAACGTTGTCCAACCAGTGTGGGAGACCGATGCCCAAACCCCCTGACCGGCAGACTGGGGCGAGGTGCCGAGTCGCGTGGTGCCGCCACTGGAGTGGCGGTGGTGGCGGTGGTGGTGGCGGTGGTGATGGTGATGGTGGTGGCGGTGGTGGTGGCGGTGGCGGTGGTGGTGGCGGTGATGATGGTGATGGTGGCGGTGGTGGTGGTGGTGGCGGTGATGATGGTGATGGTGGCGGTGGTGGTGGTGGTGGCGGTGGCGGTGGCGGTGGTGGTGGCGGTGGTGGTGGTGGTGGCGGTGATGATGGTGATGGTGGCGGTGGTGGTGGTGGTGGCGGTGGTGGTGGTGGTGGCGGTGGCGGTGGTGGTGGTGGTGGCGGTGATGATGGTGATGGTGGCGGTGGTGGCGGTGGTGGTGGTGGTGTGTCCGTACCCTTACCCAGCGTGTTCGGACGAGATGCGCTGGACGCCGCTTCGTGTGAGTCACGGCTCCCTCGGGGTGGCGGGTGGGCGGGCGGGCGGGCGGCACTGTCGTCGATGGGGTAGCCACCGAGCCGAGACGCGCTGCGCTTTTTACGAGTTCGATTCCCGGCCACTGGCTAACGTCAGCGGCCAGCGCTGTAGGGGACTGGGTCCTGTCCGCCAGGACCCCTCCCCCCACCCCCTTCGCCACGGGACGTTGAGTAGGGCACGGTCAGCGGTACGTCTCTGGAGATCTCGGTGGGATGGTCTGTGTGGGGCTGAATCAACTTCTGGATGTATGGGGTGGAGGAAACCCATTTAAAGGCTTGGACACATTTAGGTGAATCGTGAACTCGACGCGATGTTTGAACTGGAAGCCGATTCAGAGCCACGTATGGCACGTATGTACGTTGAACTTCTTTCTCACCGTACGTAGCCAACCGTACTAATCGGAGGTGCGGGAGAAGGACAACAAACTGAACACAACATGCAGCTCTAAAGAAGCGAGTTTTCAACCGAGACGATTTAAAAATGCATAGCTCCAGTGGCTTCCTAATATGGGGAAGGGAAGAGCGTTCCAGACGGCCCCAGAAGCGCATCTGGAAGCGCCGCGCGACGCGGTGACCACCGCCTTTGTTCGATAGCAGAAGCCGAAAGCAAAGCCATCGAACGAAGAGGAAGGTTGTGCGGTGTTGTCCCGAAGAGCAGAGAGAGAGAGTGGAAGGTGTAACTGTATGCACATGCGTTAGTGGTATCGTCTTATTGACGTATCGGAAGCATATATAATACATTATTAGGATTTTTGCATGCACAATCCTATGGATGTTTCATGATCGTAGACCAATCGTTTTGATCAATGACTTGTAAAATAGGTTGCAACCACACACTCATTGCCGATGACATACTTGTGTGTGACGTAGTCCTGAGCTAAATCTCACAATTGACAGTCTTTCCAAGACCACATTGGAAAAGCAACATTGACGGGAGGTTGCAGGTATTATTGTGATAATAATTTACATGTATAATGCGCATTCCATCCTCGGCTCCCAATGCGAAATGCACGGAAAGCCGGGAACAAAAGCAGAACCAGGGCCAGCCGACGGAACGAAAGAGGGAAGGCCGCTTTAAAGAGTTGGGGTTTCAAAACAGACGATCTCGCCAGCTGCTCTCTCGTTAGATGGCATCACCAGTTTATTTGGGTCATGGCAAACAGACGGCAAAATCAGTTGTTGCACTGTACTTGTATGTGCCCACGTCTCTATGTGTGTCCCGCCTTCACACATCTGCTCTGATCAGCAGGGTCAAATGACCCCTCCCCAATGACAGGATCTCATCAGCAAGGCTGTATTTTATCCGCCCGGCGCTCCACTCATTTGTTGTGAGCTTCGCTCCTCCACCCTCCGTCGGTATTGGAAGACAACTGGCTCCTCCGTAGAGGCCGATTTTGACACCGCCGGTGCCAGTCATTGGCAAGTCCCCTTAGCTCCACATCCTCCTGTACCGCATCCCTCCATCTCTCCTCCGGGCCGTGCTGCGCCCGTGAATCCCCCTCTATGCGGCCAAACAGAAGCTGCTTGGGCATGCGGCAGCTGAGCATGCGGGCTACGTGACCCAGCCAACACAGCCTCGCCTGCCGGAGGAGCTCATTGATGGGACCGTGTCCAGATCTGTCGAGAATCTGTGAGCTCCTCACACACTCCAACGTGGTTAAACCCAGGATGGGTCGTAGGCAGGCCAGCCTGAATGTTTTAAGCCGACGCAGATGTTCCTTCAACAAGGTTCACGTTTCACAAGAGAAGGGATGTGGCCGAGAAGAACGCGGAGCTGCGTGTGGAGCGATGGGCCAGGTAGAGGGAGAAATGTGATGTCGTCACTTGTTTAACATCACATTTATATTTACGCGATCTAACCCAAAAACTTCTATAATGAATAATATTGGTCACGAAAGCCTACGTGTGAAACTGATGAAAATATAATTCCGCTCGACTGACTTGGAGTCAGACCTCTGCTACCAAATCATAAATGGGTATAAGCACACTGCCCAGGCATTACAATACCACTCGCTCCACAACTGCCCTGTCCGTATTCCATGGAGAGGCGAGGGGGTGAAGTATTTGATTCCTAAAACTATTTTTATTTTACCAGGTAAGGCCCAATGAGCTATGTAGCTCTTTTTCAGAAGCGACCTGTCCACAAACGATAGCTCAACGAAGTGGGTTAGCATGTGGACATTTATAGCAGCCAAATGTTCTAAACGCACGTTTCTAAATGTGGAGGGAAAACCCGGAGAACCTGTAAAAAAATCCACGTGACCACGGGGAGAGAGCGAGAGACACGCAAACTCCAAATATACAGCAGGCGTCAAGGTCGGGATCAAACACACAACCTCCTGCATATCAGGCGAGGGAGTTAACATCAGTGAAGACATAAAACACCAAGGCAGGTGCTTAATTTATTGTGGGGCTGATGGTAAGGCCCCATTTCGTAGCATGCTCCAGGTTCAGAAGTAGAGTCTCCAACTCATTCTCAGTGAGAAGCAATTGCCAGATCATCAGCATACATGATTGTACAGTATAGAGGCATCCTTTGACAGCACCCAGGCATCGATCAACCTTCCATTGCATCTGTACCAGATGGAAATCACTCAGTACAGTGATGAAAAGCGTCCCAAGCTGTGCGGTCAAAGAATATTTAAAAAGCACATACATAAAGACATACACACATACACACACGCATACATGCACACATACACACACATAACCACACAGAGACAAATATCCCCCGTGTAGTCTTAACAGACTGTTGGGGCAAGTGCTGTTAGCGAGCACCTATTAAGGCCAGTAAGACGCACAAAGGGGTGGGATAACTATCAATCACGCCCGACCGCCTTTGTCTCTCCAGTGTCGATGTTTACACACGGCATCAGCTACCCATTTGAAACCGAGTCAGCTCAGAACTATTTCTCATTCCACTCGCCACTGATGTTAGCCATGGCCAAGAATCAAACTCAGGTGGCTAAGTTCAAAGTTCAGAAAGCTTACCGCCACACCACGACTCCCCACACACACACACACGTGCACTTTACACACACACACAAGGGCACTCGCTCACTAAATAACGAAGACAAAGACCCCCCATATATTCTGCTAGCAGCTCGTTATTAAACTAAACTATGTTTTATTTTACCAAGCGACCTGGCCATCACAAATGACAGCTCAACGAAGTTGCTTATCACGTGGACATTTATAGCAGCCAAATACTCTAAACGCGTGACGTTGGTTCTGAACGTGGAAGGAAAGACCGCAGGACCCGGAGAAAAATCCACGGCGCACACGCGGAGAGCGAGACTTGCAAACTCCAAATATACAGACATCGTCAGGGTCGGGATCGAACCCACACACTCCTATATGCCAGGCGAGGTAGTTCACATCTTGCCACACGCAACTCTTAACCTTTTGAGGCCAGCAAACCAAAGGCTGCCTTTGTCTCCCCAGTCCCATTTACAGCCCTGAGCCATTGGTGAACATTGACACGCTTATGATTTCCCATTGGACAACCGCTGTTAACGCGGGCTGGTAACGTGGTGGGTCACGGGAGCCCGATATTTCTAACTCTTGGCACCACTCACGACGTCCCGTGTTACCCTTGGCCAGGAGTCCAACTCAGGTAGGGCCGGGTCCGTAGTCGCGCACCGTAACGTGGGACGGCACCCAAAGTGAGCGCGCCGTGGCGACTGACGCAGGGTGGCTTCCTGAGAGCGTTCAAGTCCAACGCGCGACACCGCCTCTCACCTGCAGGCGATTGCCTGGCCACTGAATCTCTCACTTGGCACTGCCCTCGGCTGGCGCAGGGCGAACGAGGGCACAGTGCCTGGCGCTGTATTTAACATCGGCAACAACAACAACAAGAAATGGAGACAAAGGCGGCCCTTAGTGGGGGCCTGGCGCCGCCACTCGGGAGTGGCTCCGTCTAAAGGTGCTCGCTAACGACGCTTGCTTCAGCCGGCGTCTGAAAGGGTGGCTCTGTGAGCGTGCGTGCGCGCTCCGTGTTGGCAGTAAAACAATGAGGTGTCTCACGTGACTCCGTGCGCACATAGCCCCCCCCCCTGGCCCCCCAAGGCCCACAGGTGCCGCGTAATCCATTGTTTAGTCACAGCACAAGGGGCCGTGCGGGTGAGAGAAGTAACACCCCCCACCCCGCCCCCCCCGGCCCCCCTAAGCGGGGTCGCGTCACCGCACGAGGCACTGGGATGCTGCTGGATGCTTCTTGATGTTACCCACGTGACTAAGTATTCGGCCTGCGTACGCATCTCGA